TTTCAAGGCTTGAAAATACTGTAAAATATAATATAAATATGTTAAGTGAATTACCATGTAAATAAAACAAACGATTATATAATAGCACCAAATTCCATCACATGAAGTAGTTGATGTATTTTGAAATTTTTGTTCTGCGATAAGTTTAAATGAGATGTGTTGTGCAAGTTTAAATAATGTAGTCTGTTAAGGTGACTCTCAGGCTGCACATCACAAATTCAGCACACTACTGTACAGGTACACAAACAGTTATTCAAGCTGTGTTAATTACTTAGTTAAATATATTAATGAAAGTAGGTTTATCAAATCCAATTAAAATAAAAGAAAATTAAAACAAAAAAAAACAAACATTATGCTTTAATTAAAAATGTCATTAGCATAAGACAACAATGTAGTATTTTGTTTACTATTATATCATGGAATTATGAAATCTAATTTTACGCGTACATCATCTAATCCTTACCATTGACCAACTTGTGACAAGTGATGAAATGGAATCCCAATTACATTATATGTCTGTATATTACTATTCGCTTTAATAAAGTATTCACTTATTGTTATTGTTTTCACAACAAAACTCACCAATTGTTTGCACAAGACCATCTTCAAGAACTGATCAAAATTATTATAATGCCTCCATAGAAAGTACTGGTATGTTGGCAGGTAGCACATACTGCAGCTCAGGACTGGTGATCTGATAATGCATACTGAATTTTAAGTTTTCGTGTCCATCTTCGCCAATACTTACAGTAGCTCCATTATTAACGGCCTATGGATGCCATGTTTTTTTTTTCCTGACAAAAACACAACATAAAGAAAAAATAAAGAAAATGTTTAACTTTACAATTAAGATCGACAATATACAGTAGGCTGCACAAAGATGTAGGCCTATACTGATATTAAATAAGGAAGTGGATATATTTACGTTGTCGTAATCAAAACAGTAAACGATATATTTACGTAGATGAAACGACGCATGCGCAGTCATACTTTAACATAACAACTAGCATTTTCAGCACTCGATATTAGCGTGGCCTTCCAAGCCGCGGTGATTCCCCCAAGTTCAGCATGGCACTAATTAATTTATAATTTTGTTTTTTATTTTTTTATTAAACGTAATTTAACTTTCTACAATAGCACAGTATGTAGTTTCATCACTAAATAAATTATTACGGTAAATCAAGTGTTAAATTTTCAAATAAAAGTGATACTGTATTATGAGTTGGAAATGTTATGTATATCTTACTCAATCATTTGTTGAGTTCTGTATCCATACTTCGTAGACACATGCACATCATTGCCAATGTTGCTTTGTTAGTGATCAGACTACTTGGAAAAATATGTTTGAATAAAACATTAAAAATATTTGTTTTGTCTTGCCAGGGAGAAGTATTTTATGTATGCTTTACATCTCCCTGGTTTCACTTTTTTCGTAGTGATTCAATATCTTACAGAAAATACACGATTATTCGTTGTTTACTTCTTGCTTCACATAGCGTACAGTACTTTTTAGAGTGATTCATGTGCTCACCAAACTTCCTGTATGTTCTTTGTGATCGATTGGGGGTCGATGCTTGACCCGTCTGAAGACTATATAACAATGTTGTTTTTGTTAGTGACAACGTGGGTAAATTTGTTTGAATGAAAACATTAGGGGTTATTTAATTTGTGATGATTTCAAGACTATCATATAACAATACTGGTAGGCCTAGAAGAATATTGTCTTGATTCCTGGTAATTAAGTTTTAGCAATGAAACATTGCATAGGCCTTGTATTTACGTCAAGTGTGTTCATTTAACAAATGATTGAGTAAGATGAACATAACATTTCCAGCTCATAATACAGTATCACTTTTATTTGAAAATTTAACACAATGATTTAATCATTTATTTAGTGATTAAACTACATACTGTGCTGTTGTAGAAAATTAAATTACGTTTAATAAAAAATATAAAACAAAATTATACATTAATTTAAAGTGCCATACTGAACTTGGGGGAATCAAAGCGGCCATGGGAGGCCACGCTAATAATATTGAGTGCTGAAAATGCAAGTTTGTTAAAGTATGACTGCGCATGCGTTGTTTCATTTACGTAAATATATCGTTTACTGATTTGTTTACGACGACGTAAATATATCCACTTCCATTAAATAAAGTGTAGTATTTTATGCTTGAGAAACAGAAAACAGCTTTGAATTGTAATGCACTCCAGCATGTGGGAATTCAATATTTTGACAATGACATTATGTTCTGGTGTATATGTGGACTCATATAGGCTCCCTAGGCTTGGTTCGGGGTGGGAAGGGCCTGCCAGCCAGGTCCCTATACTAAAGTTACATCACAAAGTCTAGGCTAGGCCTAGTTATACACAATGACATTAGTTTAGGTACGTTACAAAGCGTGACGTCACACTTGATTGTTTTGGTTAGACGTTCGCGGCGACCTTGAACTTCCGGTTCACGGTGTTGGGTTTTAAAAAAATCGTGAAAATTACGTTTCTGATTAAAAATCGATTATGTCATGCATTTTTAGGCAGACAAAAGGTTAAAGAACAGTCACGCATTTGTTTTGTGTTCATTCATTGTTTATTTCCGCTGCAGTTGACGTCCGAAGTTACTACTCGAATAAAATCAACTTTTTCTGTCAAAAAGGTACATGGTAATTCTAATTATTATAATAGTAATTTAGAGAAATAAGTAATTAACATTTTGACCAAATATGAAAGAATTCTGTCGACAACCAAGTGGTTTTTATAAGCTGGCAAATCTGCTATGATTTACGATCGCTTGGGTAAAATGGCGTCTAATGTCAAAATGATCGCGACGTCTGTATACTATAATGCTAGGTAGAACTAGGCCTAGAGTCTGGGCTAGACCGCGATGTATAATATTCATTTTTGTGGTCAGAAAGTTACATGGTAATTCTAATTATTATAACAGTAATTTACAAAGATAAGTAATTAACATTTTGACCAAATATGAAAGAATTCTGACGACAACCAAGTGGTTTTTGTAAGCTGGCAAATCTGCTATGATTTACGATCGCTTG